CATTCCCCACCCCCACCCTGGGCTCTACGAGGTTCCACTTGTTCTTTAGCACAATCACACTCCCCCCACAGCAAGACTGAAGACTGGAGGCTCAGAAAGGGTCAATAAAGTGAGCCAGAGGATCCTGTTTCTTCTATTCAAAGTCTGATTTATCTTATCTCTGCTCCTCCCTCTAAACACCATGCATTGACCCAACCCATTTGGCAGGAAGCCCCTGGAAAAACAGGATAGATCAGCTAAAGGCCAGAGCGCGCTCTCTCTCTCTCTCTCTCTCTCTCTCTCTCTCTCTCTCTCTCTCTCTCTCTCTCTCTCGGTGGGAGATGTGAGCCTTGGACAGACAACAAGACTGGGCCATGTCTCATTCTCTTCTCATTGGTGAAGAAGGACAGAGAAAGATATTTTTCACTGATGGGATTCTGTGCTTCTGAGTACTCTGCTCCAAACTGAAAGGGGTCAGGTAGAACCTACTTAATGAGCACTGGGAGGGCTCATGGTGTATCTAAAATGAAAATGATACCTATTTTGGTCTTGTCACAATCTGAGTAGGCCTGTTCCAGGACAGCTGCAGGTCCTACCTCTCAGATAGGGTCTTAGGTGTCTCCATCGTCCTCTCCATCCTCCACCCTGATGCAGTTTCCCAGGGGAAGGAAGATTCAGGGTACGGGCCTCTCTCTCTCTCTCCTCTTTGAGACTCAATGTGAGATTCCCAGAGAGTCCCAGGTCAGGTGTCCTCTTGCATTTAAGCCTGAACTCTCATTTTCTCTCAATCACCCCTCCTCCTCCCCCATCTGGACTCAGCAAAGCCATGGTCAGCCTCCCTTAGCCCGAACTCACTTCAAAATTAGGGCTCTTGGGTTGGACAGACACAGGACTCATTCCATCCCTTAGATGCCCATTTCTAATGTTTTTAGAGGTCCCACACTTCATCTTCGATGTGGTCGCTTTTCCCTCACCATCTCTCTTCTTTTGTAGGGAGGATGAGGAAAGGTCAGAGGTTTAGTTAAGTAATAGAACCTCAAGGAGGCTGAAGAAAAGACCAAAGTCTGACCCAGTGACTTTAAAACCAAGTAGTCATGAGCATCATTAAGGTGCCACTTCATGTGCAGACACTCAGGGGTGCTGCTGGGTGTTTTTCTTCCAGAGCCCACTGAGCTTCTTTCTTAAATTCTCCAGTATAAGCCTTTGTGCTAGTACAACAAAGCAATCTCCAATACACAAGTTGCCCACTGGAGTGGGGGCAGAGTTGGACATTCACTACATCTCTAGAAACAGGAAGAGTGAATGTACATGGAGCTATTGGCATTCATGGGACAAGTAAGTTGATGGTCAGTGAAACCCTATCAGAGTGGAGAACCCTGACTTTTCATGGCCTAATCTACAAACATCATCACCACATCCATCGCCACTACCAATTTACCACCACCACCATAACCCCTATCGTTATCTATCACCACTACCATCACCAACACCATCAGCAGCAGCAGTTTATCTAATACCATCACTACTGTCACCATCCCCATAACTCCCATCATGATTGGTCCTCATGGCCACCATAATTACCACCATCAGCAGAAGCATCATGATCTAACATCATTATCACCATCCCCATCATCCCCATCATTTTTGATCTATCTTCATCACCAGAGCTTACACCTTACTCTGTACTCTGGGATCAATCCTGGTGGGCTCAGAGGAGCATGTGTAGTGCTGGGGGTCAAACTCAGATCGAGCACATGCAAGACAAACACCTTACCCACTGTACTCTCTCTACTGCCCCTATGCTTCTTATTTAGTTTTGTTTGGGGACCATACCCAGTGGGGCTCAGAGTCACTCCTGGTAATGCTTGAGGTGAGCATGCAATACCAGCAAAGCATGAGCTTAGCCTATCAAAGTCTATCTCAGAGAAGTCTCGAGCAGTTGAGAGGGGAACTTCTCCTGGAAATTCTCAGCTACCAGGTCAGTGACTCAGAGCTAAGGTCTGGAGATGTGATGCTGCTCTGGTCTGGTCCTGCTCTGGCGGAGATTAGCTAGACTACCCTGTCAGGTCCTGAAGGCCTCCGCAGTTTCACTTGCAAACTCGGATCAGCTGCTTGCAAGACTTGAGACTTAACCACTCTACTATCTCTCTAAGCCTTTGTGCTCATTTTTTAATTTCTGTTTCATTCTTTAAAGAATCTCCAGCAGTACTAAAAAGCAAATCTCAATAGCTTGCCTTTTGGCAGATGAAGAGTCTGGCTTAGAAAGGCTGGCTTGCTTTTTCCCAGGATTGACTGTGCACACAGAGGGGCTGGGATTAAAACTTTTCAGTGTTTCGCCCTTCCCATCTGTTGCAATGTCTAATGTAGGTCAGCTGTCCTGGCTGATGCACTAGCTCTGAGGTGTCTCCTGCCTTGTTTGGGGGTTCTCTGTGTTTCTCATTTCTGCACAGGCATGTGGGCCAGGGATGTGGGCAAGGAATGTGCTGGAAGATTGGGTTCAAAATCTAATTCACCCTATTCTTTGGAACACAATGAGGGGGAAAAAAATTGTCTCACTGATAATTGGGTGTGGGACCTCAGGCAAGTTAATTTGACCTCTCTTGTCTTTTTGCATTTTGCAAAGTTTCCTAAGCATCACTCACCACCAGGTAGATAGAGGGTAGTTGCTGTGGGTCATCTAGGTAGCACTTGGCTTTGTACTTGGTTGCTCTCACAACCTCTAGGTCATTCTCTTTGCACAAGGTTGAGACTCAGCCCCCACATGAAAGGAAAGATGGGTGGAGACCAAACCCGATGTCCAGCCCCCCCACCCATCACATCTTATTATCCCCAATAATCCTGGCTATGTTTCTGAGCTCACTACCGCATCCCACTCCTCTGTATTTCCTCCTCATCCTCCTCCTTTCTCCTCCTGTAGACCCTTTAGACCAAGTTCAAAAACCCAAGAGAGGGCACTCTCCCTCGCTCTTATGACTGCTATTGCTTCTCCCCCTAACATGTCTCCGGTACTTCCCTTCCAGTGGAAAGCTATAATTATGTTTTCTCCCCATGAAAATCCCCCTGGGCCTCTGCCTAGACTTGACTTCCCTTTATAAGCTAGTTGGACTGGTGGCGGTGCCATGGCCATGGATGGAATTTGCTATTCAGAAAGCAAAGTGCTGGGGCTCCTCCACATGACAGCCTTCATGGGGAGGGCAGCATGGGGATGTTAGGATGTTTCCGAGCTCTAGCTCCTGAATCAAGGAAATGATTACAGGGTAGGAAGTATTTGCAGGGGCTCATCTTCTGCCTTGAACCTCCCCTTTTCCCTGCTCTTGGGGTCTATCTGCACCCTGAGCTCCTGTGTGTCCCTTGGCTAAGCTTGGGGTCCCGTCCTTTATAGCTTTCCCCAGACATGGCCCATTTTGAGGGTAAGAAACCAGGGTTCTCAGGATCCCCTTGTAGGTCTTTCTCCTCCTCCAGCACACAGATCCCCTTACTCATCCTCTCTCACCCCTGTCCTCCCAACCACTCCCTTTCCCCCACCCCACCACTACAGCCCAGTAGGAGTGTGGATTTGGCTTCTGTTTTGCGTCAACTAGGAAGAGTCTGGCAAGGAAAATCAGACTGCAGGACAGGACAAGATCTGAGCCTGGGTACTTATAACCGTGGGGCCCAATGCAAATCACTCTCTGGGCTCTTTTTTTTTCCTTTTTGGGTCACACCTGGAGATGCACAGGGATTACTCCTGGCTCTGCACTCAGGAGTTACTCCTGATGGTGCTCAGAGGACCATATGGGATGCTGGGAATCGAACCTGGGCCGGCCGCATGCAAGGCAAACGCCCTACCTGCTGTGCTATCTCTCCAGCCCCACTGTCTGGGCTCTTAGTCTTCATTTATTTAACTTGTAAGGAGAAAGTCACAGCTTCTTTGAAACATGGTTGTCACCAGCCATGGGCAGGAGCCGTGCAAGGGTGCACTGGCTTTGCCAATGAATCAGACAGACCCAGGACCTAGACTATACATCACTTGGCTCTTACCAGGCTGTTGGCCTGTTAGCTCTCCACTTCAGGTCTGGCATAAACACACCCAGTTCTTCGGCGGAGCCCAGGAGCTTGTCCCCAACACTCAGCTTCTCCCTCCAAGAATGGGCTCAGAAAGCTTTCAGTGTGAAGTGGTAATAAAACCCTCTCACCTCCTTCCTTCTTTCTCTGGCTTCCCTGCTGGCAGCTGGCCCTGGCCAGCTTTGTGGGATCTGGCCAGCTCCTTGCAGCTGCCTACCTCCAGTGGCACAGTGCCCGCCTCCACGCCTGGCTCCCAACGCTGGCCTTAGGTTGCCACGTGTCTTGCTCCCTGACTTCTAGGAGGCAGAGACCTTCCTCCATTCCTCTGGCTGAACTCTGGGAAGGGGCCGGGAGAGACCGCACCAACCCCCACTCTCCCCACGGGAGCCCCTGAAACAGGGAGCTTCCTTCCCAGGACCCGGATGCTCACGCTTCCCAGATGGGATGAGGAGTTATCTCAAGCACCGACTCTTTTGCTGAAAGTTGGCAGTTTCTTCTTTCTGGCTTCCCCTGGTATTTTCCATGTGCCCTCTTTTGAGTTGCTCCCATACTTGAAGACTCACTTCCAAGCTCAAACACTGTAGAAGCCTCCTAAGAACCTTCTCACTTTATGCTGCTCAGAGAGGCTGAGGGACCAGCCAAAGGTCACACAGTCAACCTGGATAGAGCGACATCTGAAGTCGAGCTCCCCCCATGCTTTTTTTTTCTGGGTGCCCTTGTTATTGCATTTCAAGGGGTGGCTCAAGACCTGGAAAGCCTGTTGTCTGCATTCCCTCAGAGCTGCCCCTTCCTCAGTTTCCCATCAGCTCAGCAGACCTTGAGCTGTCCAACCTCTCTCCCTGGACCCTAATGTTTGCTGCCTAATTGTTCACCACCTTGTACCCAATCCTCCAACCTCTCATCCAGCCAGCCAGGTTGCAGGACTTGGAGAGAAAGAACCTTAGCTCCCTTTCCCAAACTCTCCAGATAGGACTTACCGAGGCCAGAACACTGCCCACGGCAGCAGCAGTTGTCAGAGCCGCCAGCGCCCAGGACAGGAGCCACCTCATGCCTGGAAGTCAAAAGAGAAGGCATCCACCGAGTGCCCAGGGGATCCAGTCACCTCTCTCGGAAGATGGGTCCTGTCTGTCCTGCCCATCAGGAGGACCAGCTCTGTCTCTCCCCGCAACCCCAGTGGAGAGCTTTTATTAAAGCAAGAGCTGACGTCAGGGTGAAGGACAAACCCTGCATTTTCCTCTGAAAAAAAACTTTTCTGCTTCTCTCTCTCTCTTTTTTCTTTCTTCCCACTGTCCCCACCTCCAGCCCAGGCTTGGCCAGCCTCCCCCGCTCTGACAGTTCTTAAAGGGAAAGTTACAGGATTGGTGCTTCACCCAGGGACTGGAAATTCTCACCCCAGGAACTCTGTCACCAGGGCTCATTCCACCAGGGGGTGTTTCACAAAGGTGGGGAGCAGGGAGATGGGGGCTGCAGAGCAGAGTCTGGGATACAGTTACAGAGGCAGGGCGGCCTGGCTGGGAAATAAACGCCCTCTGCCTCTCCTTTCGTCAGGAGGCTCCTGCTTCTGGTTTTCATTTGTCCTTTCCTTTCCTCTCGCCCAGGCTGTAAGCAAAGGAGGATGACTTTAAATCCACAGATGGAGAAATGATAGGAATCCACAGATGAAATAGACGCGGGGGGTTGGTTTCTCCCCTTGCGCCCACTTTGCAGTGGAAGCCCCCCCCCCCGCCCCCCCCCCCCGCCAGCTCACCAGCCAGAACTCCTAGGAGGCTGGAGCTGGGTTGGCATCCTTGGTGGTGGTGGTGGTGGGGGGGGGGGGGTGGTGATCACTTCATCACCCAGGGGAGGGGCTTTTCTGGATGGAACTAGCCCTGACAGCTGCCAGTGAAAGCCTCCCTCCCCCTCTAGTCTCCCTTCCTGAGCTCCACTGTCCAGGTTTCTTGGAGCCTCTGGGAGGATCCATGGATGATGTGACTATGATGATATGTCTCTCCTAGACCTGGCTCCTCTTGCCTTAACCTGGATTCCCAGTCCCTGTGTGGTCACCCAGGCCAGAAGCTTCTCAGAACACTTGTCTTTCTACTCTCCTGGTATACTAGGATGAAGAGGAGTGAGAGAGAAAGAAAAGGAGGGGGGTGAAATAGGGATGAAGAAAAAGAGGATGTAGTGAAGAAATGATGGGGAAAAGAAGGGAGGGACCAAAGGAGAGAGTAATGGGTTAAAAGAAGGAGAGAGAGGTGGAAGGAAGAAAGGATGGAAGATAGAAGGGATGGGTAGAAGGAAGGAGAGTGTGATGGATGAAAGAAGGAAGGAAAAGTGGAAGGAAAGAAGGGAAGAGTGAAGGATGAAAGCTAGGAAGTAAGGGAGGAAAGACAGACAGAAGAAAGGAAAAGAGAAGAAAGGAAGGAATACTTGAAGAAGATGAACATTTTATATACTTTCTTCAGCCAAATGGTGGCTTCAAAGTACCTAGGAAGCAAGTCAAGCCCATGAAGGTCTTCAGAAACCAAAATTCCCCTTCCCCTTGTGTGCTGTGTGACCTCAGAGAAGTTCCATATGCTCTCTGTGCTGGTTTCCTGGTCTCTTTAACAGAGCTGAGGGAGGTACACACAGTTCCCACAACTCCTGGCAGTGTGCGTGCTGTGCTGGGTGGATTGAATAGGTTTAGCCCAGATCCTGTGATGGAGTGAATCTCTTGTCCATGATGAATATTCCTACTGGCTCTGCAGAGGAATCTCCTGAACACAGTGATGTTCAAACTCCATTCCCACTATGGTGTCCCATATCCCATAATGCCACACAGCAGACACATAGTTCAGGATTGATGGTGGGGGGCTGTGTAGGTGCAGAAGCTCATGGTGGGGGCCTAAATTGGGTCTGGTTTTCCTTCTTTTGAGGCTGAAGATTCCAACTTCATCTCTCGGGCATGGGTGTCCCTGCAGCAGAGGGATAAGTACAGAATAATCTTCTTCCTATGCAGAATTTATTTTATTTATTTATTCATTTTTGGCTTTTTGGGTCATACCCAGCCATGCACAGGGGTTATTCCTGGCTCATGCACTCAGGAATTACTCCTGAAGGTGCTCAGGGTGATCCTATGGGTTGCTGGGAATCAAACCTGGGTCAGCCGAGTCAAGGCAAATGCCCTACTGCTGTGCTATCGCTCCAGCTCCCAGAAAAAAAAAATTTTTTTTAAGTAAGGTAATTAAAACTGGCCTCAAGCAACAGAACTAAGAGATTGGTCCTCAGAATGGAGTTTACCAAGAGAGAGTGAGAGTGAAATTGTCTTCCATAGAGACAGGGGGACGGGTGGGATCAGGTGAGGAGGGATACTGGGGACATAGGTGGTGGAAAATGTGCACTGGGGGAGGAGGGATGGGTGTTCCATCATTGTATGACTGAGACTCAAACATGAAAACTTTGTAACTGTGATTCAATTTAAAAAAAAAGGAAAAGAAAATAATGGAGTTTACCATTGCCAGGGATAAGATTTGGAGGAGGGGGCACAGGGAAAATAGTTGAGAGATGCAGATACTCTGGTGGAAGGTGCTAGAATGTTTTATGTATGAAACTATCAACATTATTAGTATTAATGGTACCTAAAATAAAGTTTAAGATATTACCAGCACAGCGGGTAGGGCGTTCGCCTTACAAGCGGCCAACATGGCCGACGCGAGTTCGATTCCTCCGCCCCTCTCGGAGAGCCCGGCAAGCTACCAAGAGTATTCGATATGCCAGACACAGTAACAACAAAGTCTCCAATGGAGACGTTACTGGGCCCGCTCGAGCAAATCGATGATCAACGGGAGGACCTTTACCTTTACCTTACCTTATTATTTATTATTGCGATGAAGTGTGGACCTATTGTTATCACCTAAAGCCCATCACTAACATTAGGTTCTCTCATAGTATTTGTACCCTCTATTTGGGACCCTTGTGTGATTACACTTGCCTTCAATGATAGCATCCTTTTCTCTGCTCTAAAATTATTTTCTTCCCCATCCTTTCTTCACCCCTCCCTTCAATCCCAATCCATGAGGCTGCTTATCTGTCTACTTGTTTTCCCTTTTGCAGAAAGTCAGATTTTCTCCATAAGTCACAGCTTGTATTTATCCTACAGGGAGCCTTCACCAGGACTTCTCTCACTTCGTGGCAAGCGTTTCAGACTCCTTCCTGCTTTTCATGGCTTTATAGTTACATTCCATGTCATTCACCATTGGCTGGGAAAGTTTCTTCTCTTCAAAATAATGAGATTCCATTGAATTAACCCTGCTGCATGAGAAAACCAAGTGTAACAGCTCTGCACCCTAGGGTTCAAGAAATCTTCTCTACATACTCTTGTTTCTCTCTTGCTAAATCCTGCTGTGTTCACCTTCAGCAACACCAATGTACAATTCTTCTCACCTTCTCCATGGCCACCATGCTGGTCTTGTGACAGAGATTGCCCAGGGACAGTGTGAAACCAGCGTGGCTAGCCTGAGAAGGAAGGATCTGGGTGGCCAGCTGAGGCTGGATGCCCAGGTTCAGGGGAATGGCCAGCAGAATCAGGGGAGGAGCTTGGTTATCTGGTCTATCCATGGGAGATGGGACTTAAAGAATCAGCCCAGCTATCTAACCTCTCCTGTCCTGTTTGTTCACTTTAGGCATTATCTCATCCACAAGAAAGATTTCTCTCTGTAGTTTCAAGGCTGTGTGCCTTTTGTGCTGGGCAGCATAGGCCACAAGGGAAGAGATGTTATCAGGATGCCTGTAGAAAGAGTGTTTTCTAGACACAGAGATAAGTTTTCAGAAATTCGTTCCTAAAATTGCCTCCAGTTTTCTTCCAGCCTCTTCCTATCACCTCCCCTTCACCTTGCTCTAGCTCAGGTAAGTGTGGATGGTTGGATTCCTTACAGTGACAGGAACCCTTCAGCAGAGTCTTTGCTGCGAATCCCTACTCATCCTTCACATTCTGTTCAAGGTTTGGTGCTCCAGCAAGCTTCTCTATTCTACTCAGGAATCAATGAGGGGAAAGGAGTCTCAGCAGAGGTTATTTAAATAACAAATCCATTAATTTCTTTTGGGAACTTCTTCATAGAATTGATTCCATGTGAGAATTTCAGGCATTAGCGCTTATATAAATGAGTCTTGGGCTGTGCCAGTGAAGACTTGGGAGGAAGGACTTTGTGTATGTGTGTGTGTGTGTGTGTGTGTGTGTGTGTGTTTGTGTGTGTGTGTGTGTCTGTGTGAGGGGAGGGGTGAGGTGCAGGCGAGTCAGTGAACATTTCTATTTCTGTTTTTATTTTTTAAAATATTTTATTTTCATAAAAGTAGTTTACAATAGTTCATTACAGATAATATTCAAACACCAATCCCACCACCAATCCACCTTCCCACCACAATAAGAGGTAAGTGTGTAAGGTTCATTCAGGAGTTCTTTAAGCCTGAATATAAGAGAGTACAAGCAAATATGTTAGAAACCAAACAAATGGTTGATACTTTTGATAAGTAAGTGAGGTAGAATGTAAGAGGTCATGTGGGCGCAAATGCGGCTACACTTTCCAGAAAATTCTGCGGCACTCTCTTCCAGGAGTTTTAGTTTATAGTCAGAGAATATTTCTAAGTCTGGAAGGAATTGAATTTGATTCTGCTGCTCATTATGACTCCCATATCCACCTTCTCTCAAGCAGGTGAGCACCACTTGAGTCCACCTGACAGAGACTCCACCTTCCCACTGAATCAAAGACCCCATCTGTAGAGGTTACCCCACACCGTCAGCAGCTGTCTGCATAGAGCACCACATCAGAAGCTTTCAAGATTGTAAAACTCCTTCTCCATGGACCTTCCTTAGGGTTTGGAAGGGATTGAGTTATTCCCTGACTCTCATAGAGGGTATCACTCAGGGTGGATGAGAAAATTGTATTAATAGCCCACTGTATCTACGCAGTCATTCTGAGTTGACATTAGGCAACACCAAACAAATGTGACATTTCAAAACCATTTCACATTGGTAACCTTTGGATCCTGGTCTCAGAGATTCTAACAAAGGGTTAGAGCCATCCAATGCGGATTCATTGAAGTGAGGATCTCTAGTAAGTTAACTAGAACTGCAAGGCAGTTTATGTCAAAGCAGTAAGGCCTGATCCAACATCATGTTCTTTCAACTCTGATCCAAAAACTTTGAGTCACTTAGGTACATATGACCCAAGTGCCTGCAGGTGAAAATATAGCTAGAATTTGCATCTGGCCATAAATCTAGGAACCATGAG